TTTACATTTAGTCAAAACGATAAAATTGTTTGGGTTGGAAGGGGCTTTAATGCCCATCTTGTTCCACCTCCATCCACATCTTCCACCATCCCAGGTGACATTGGACACTTCCAGGGATTCAGGGGCAGCCACAGCTGCTCTGGGCACCCTGTGCCAGGACCTGCCCACCCTCACAGGGAACAATTCCTTCCCAATATCCCATCTAACCCTCCTCTCTCAGGTTAAAGCCATTCCCCCTTTCCCCAGTTCCACAGCACTCAGCTTTCAGTCTGGGAGCCCCAGATGGAAAAGGGTCTTCCATGAGCAGCCAGGCAAAGTGGAAATAATGCATCCATCAGAGTCACTGCTGTCCTCACTGTGGATTTATTGAGCACAGCCGTGGTTTCTCCCACGTTTTCCTCTTCTTTTTTTTTTATTTTTTATTTTTTTTAATTTTTTTTTTTTTTTTTTTTTACACATAAACAGAGTTTAGTTCAGTGCCAATAAATACAGTTACTGTGGTATGTGCGAAAATCTAGTCAACAGAGTTTCATTTGCGTCCTAAATTAATGATTCTCCAGAGGTAGGATTCTTTGTTGGTACTTGTTTTGTAAAGTTGAGCTTGTTGGTGCTTAATCATAATTTAGWATATCTCAAGATTTCAAATTATTCACCAATTATCCACTTCAGCTCTTCAAAACCCTGATCCTGAAGACTTCATCCAAAAATAATATTTTTAGGGGAATCTGTCAAAGACATTACTCTTTACTTTTGTTTTTCCCCCATCAGGAAGTTTCAGTTTTAAATAAACAAACCAACCYGAAAGAAACCTGAAAAGCTGAATAATTTCTGCAAGGCTCCATGAGCCTTTTCCCCGAGCAGAGCAGCTTTGGCAGACTTTGGGAGCTGCCCTGGCTGATCTGAATCCATGCCCAAGCCCAGGGTGCCCCTTGGATGCTCTCTGTTGTCATTAGGAATGTTGGCCAGTGTGAATCATGGGTTTCTCTCTGGGGCTGCCCTCGTTTCTATTCACACTGGGCACGTTGGCAGTGGGTGTTGAATGTTTGTCCCATTATCTCTGGAAGAAGAGCTGGAAACACGGGATAGCCAAGGTTTTACCAGGGTTGAAGAGAGGAGGATGCATGAGATGAGGCTTAGGCTGCTTCTCCAGTGCCCAAATTCTCCTTGTCCTTAAAAATCCCAACTAATTCAATTTTAACAGAAGAGTCAGCTCTTTATGTGCTGAATTTGAACAGATTTCTGTTTCTGTGGCTAGGTCTGTCACAGCCTGGCTTCACAATGTGGATTAGCTTCATTTGCCCTTATGTTATATTTTTAATTTTATTTTTCAGTTACCCACCAAGTTCTGTCAAAATCCTGAAGCTGAATTTCGGGAGACATTTTTATCCAAATAGTCAGGAGCAGCATATGAACACTGGGAGTAGCACATTATTTTCTTTTTGAAAAAGATACATTTTTATTGGGATAACTGCTAATGAAGATTTATTTTAAACAGAGCAATAAGAGTTATTACTTGTTTCCTTCTGGGACCAATGGAATTTGCTATTCTGGTTTAGTATTTTTTATATGTAATTATGTGTAGGAAATAGAGCAAATGAGATATTACTGGAATGGAGARCCCTTCCTCCCCCAAAACTCCAGGGTTCTAAGGATTATCAATGTAAGCACTTAAAGGTTTTAAGAGTCTTTCTAAACTTTAGGATATAAAAATATGAGGGTAAAAGCTTTATTCAAAAACACAGTCAAGGAATAGATTTTGCCCTGTGTTAGGTTATTTCCTTGTTTCTGCACTGCATGTGAAGTCTGCTGGAATATTGCACAAGGGTTTGTGAGGCTTTGAAAACTTTCACAWGAATTCAGGATCTTTTCTTTTGAARATTARTGTACTGCACATAATACCAAGCCACAAGTTAAATGGAAAGCACTGGTTTTGATACGAGCAGTGGGTTTTCTGGATAAGCTCATAAAACCTCCCCATATATCAGTGTAAAAGTTGGGAGCAGAGGTCTGGCATCACAACCTGAGAAACTTCCCTGAGTTTGTGAGTGAAGGAACCTACAGCAAGTTCAATTCTGTTTTTTGTTTGGGAAAACCACGGGTGCCTGTGCCAGGGGCAGTGCTGGCTGTCCTTTACCAGAGCAGGACACAGCTTTGGCTACAGCAGCTCCCAAATTCAGCTTTGGGTCTGACACAGTCACTGTTCAACCCACAGCACTGCCCACCTGTGCCTCTCCATTTGGGGCTGCAGGATGGGGCTATTTTGGGGTTCTCTGTTTGTTTCTGGAATATCCTGTTCTGCTCATGCAGGCCAGGGCATGTTTTYTCTCCTGTGCTGTCGAGAATAGAAATGGAAATTGCTGTTATAAGTACAAACACTTGTGTGATTGCTCTGTTCTTGGACAGTTCTCCATGTCCATGCTTGGCCATGATGCCCTCTGCTCCCATCTTGCCAGGTTATTCCTGTTCAGAGGAAGTTTCCAGGTAGTTTTCCTTCTGGGAATATGAGAATGGGAGCGGTGACACTTGATAAATTRTGTCTGAACAGAAATTTAATTTCTACAATGTTGTTTTTTTGGTTTTTTAAATTTTTTTTTCATTAYCTCCCAGTTAAAAGAAAGGAGGAGGAGGAGCTGCTGCTCCTTCAGAACAGCTCTGTCTCCAGCTCTGTCTGCACTGGGGGCATCTCTCTCCATAAAAACAATATTTTCATGTTGCTAATAGTTAATAGAGCAGGGACCAGACTTGTTCTGTGGAGCTTTTGTGAGGGAAATTCATGGCATGTTGCATTGTTGGGAACTCGTCTCCTTAAACAGCAGAGTGATTTCTGATGCATTAGGCTGATTCAGCCAAGRTCAGGGTCCTTGACTCAGGCCAGCAGTTAATTTGTGGGAAAGACCTTGAATTCTTATCAACACTAAACTTTAATCATTTCAGCTTTAGTGCTGCATTCAGTGTTTCACTTTCTTTTTGGATTTTCTCAAATTTCTTCCCATTTTCCTTTCAAAGTTTTATTTTTCCTTCAGAATCACCTAATTCCTCACATTTCTGCCATGCTGCCCAGATGGAAATCTTTAATCCTGTGCTCATTCTGTCCCAAAGGAGAGTTTGGGCAAAGATGAGAGGCTTGGGAGGGGAAGGAGGTGAAGCAGGACCCAGAGAGCTGCTGCAGGTCTGGGGTTGGGGTGGGATGTTGCTCATCTTTAGTCACTGCCCTGTTTATTGGGACAGGAGCCATCTACCCACGGCTGGGGAARGCTGKGAGTGTTTTTGGAAYGGTGCAGYRTGTTAGGTGCAGGCAGTGGGAGTGRKTTGGTCCTTTTAGGTGGTGTTTATTCTGGAGAAGGTGAACTTTGGTGTCCCAGATCACCTCCATAAAGGGCCCTGCTGGAAGCTTGACAGGGTCATTGGCACTGAGAGGGAAATGGGTCAATGGGCTGTTGGATCCTTTTGAGCTGTGCAGAAATGAACTTTGACCTGCACCCTGCTCCAGGCTCTGAGCTTTACAAGGAAATGCCTTCTTCGGTGCCTCGCTGGGCTTTGGCATGGATCATTTACTCAGAGTGTGCTGTATACTTTTATAATATATCTCAAAGTATAATGAGGTTGATAAAAGTGCTTCTAATTGTTGAAATCACAGTTCAGCAATGCTAATAACTTTTTCTTTCCATATGATAAAAGAAAATGTTTTTGTTTTTTTTTTATACTTACCAACAATAATGTACCCTGATAGAAATCCATGTGGGAGCTTTCCTGGCAGCTTTCCTGGTGCTTTTTTATGACTTGGAGAAGGACAGGGAGTTCAGGTCAGGTGCTGGGAGCTCAGGTTCTAAAATACTTCCTGGCCCTGGCTCTCACTTTTGTATTTTTTTGAGGGCAGCTGGTTTTTTCACGTTTCCTTTTGATGTCTCCACACTTGACAGAATAAAGGTGGTTTTGTGGGGCCAGGTGTGGGGTTTGGTGTCTGTGTCCTTTCCTGTCCACACAGTGGAAGCAGTGTTTGGTTGCGGTGTTTCAGGAATTAATAAATTAATGTTTGCAACATGTTCAAACACAGAGRCTCTGTTTTATCACTTGCTGATTACCACGGTTAAATAAAAACATTGCTCAACTCAAGTTGCTCAATTGCTCAGTATCACCCAAAAGGTTTTTTTGTGTAGCCACACACAAAGCATGGTATTTCCCAAAATGCTGTTTTCGAGGTGTAGCGCTTTGGTCTGGGCTGGGGGCTGGCATCCCTCTGTGTCTTGTGGTTGTGATGGCAGAGCCACAGGGGGAGCTTGGTGGGCATTTTGGTGTGAGGATCCACTGCAGGTGGAGTGGGAGCCATTCCTGGCTCCTGCAGCCTCCCTGGAACTCACTCTCTTGGAATCCTGGCTGTGTGTGGCAGCAGCTGCCAGCCAGAGCTGGTGTGCCCCTGCCCTACCTGGTGAAAATTCCTTTTATCCCGTGAAATCTGTTCCCATTACAGCACCTCTGTGAGGAGCAGGACGTGCCACCACATGCCAGGGAGTCCTGTGGTGTCTGACCCCGGGGAACACCGGAGCAGCTTTGGCATTCCAGCTGGGCTTTCCWGTCACAGCTTTTGTGTTCAACTGCTGGTAACTTTGGCCAGCTGTCAGCTTCAGGGCAAGTGGCAATCTGCCTCCTCAAACAAATGGCCACCAGGTTTATTTTGGGTTAGTGGCTGGAGGTTAGGAATCCTTGACCCTGTGGTTGGAAATGCAGTGATCGCTTGCTGTGGTTGGGGCATGAACTAACCTGCTTCCTGGAAATGCAAATAACAGACAACCCTGACCCGTGCAAAAATCACTTTATCATCCATGGAATGATCCATGCAGGACCTCAGTGGCTGAGAGGGTTTCATGCTGTGGTTACCACATCACGAGTGAAGGGATTTTTTTATGTGATGCAAAGATTGAGTGTGCTCGGGGGTGGTGGTAGATGAAAGTAAATAATTATTACAATGCATTTTCTGTTTGTGTCTCTTTGTTCTTGAACAGATTGAAAACATAGATGCGTGCCTGAGTTTCTTGGCTGCGAAGGGGATTAACATCCAGGGGCTGTCAGCAGAAGGTGAGTCCACTGGAATGAGGAACCTGAGTTACACTTTTGATTGCAACCAGAGCATTGAGTGTAATGGGAGATTAATAAGGCCAATTTAAACTTCTGACAATGTTTGCAGCTGTTTTCCCTTTCAGTGTGAAAGGTAGATAAAACATGTATCTAATTTCTACACAGCTGACTTGTAAACATAATCACTGAGACCAAATTAGAATCCAGTCACTCC